ATGTTTGGATTTGAAGTTCAGAGAGAAGTAGAATGGCAGTGAAGTGTTGTGTGGACAGTGGCAGCTGCAGTTGACTATATTGCGCTGTGTGTATGGTGACGGCTGAAGTTGACTATGCTGCGCTGTGTGGATGGTGGCGGCTGAAGTTGACTATGCTGCGCTGTGTGGACGGTGGTGGCTGCAGTTGACTATGCTGTGCTGTGTGGACAGTGGCGACTGCAGTTGACTATGCTGTGCTGTGTGGACAGTGGCGACTGCAGTTGACTATGCTGCATGTGTGCATGGTGGCGGCTGCAGTTCACTATGCTGCACTGTGTGTATGGTGGCAGCTGCAGTTGACTATGCTGTGCTGTGTGGACGGTGGCGACTGCAGTTGACTATGCTGCGCTGTGTGGATGGTGGTAGCTGCAGTTCACTATGCTGCATATGTGCATGGTGGCGGCTGCAGTTCACTATGCTGCATATGTGCATGGTGGCGGCTGCAGTTTACTATGCTGCATATGTGCATGGTGGCGGCCGCAGCTGACTATGCTGCATGTGTGCATGGTGGCAGCCTTCTGCAGTTCATGATGTTTAGAGAAAGAAGACAGGCATGGGAGAAGGGGGTCTTGAGGTAGAAGAGGATGACAGTCTGGTCTAGTGTGTGCGCTTGCTATGAGGGAAGTGTATGGACCGCGGAGCTGGGGAGAGTCTTCAGGGAAGCACACACAAAGACATGGCCATTCTAGCGGCATCAGGAGAAAGCCCCTGGGAAGAGACTGTGAGGCAGAGAGGTGGAGTACTCTGGTTGGCGGCTGCAGAAGGCACAGTGGCCTGTCTGAGTTCAGAGACTCCTGACTACAAGCTGTGACAATGAATTGCCCTCTATGTCTGGGCAAAATTAAGGACAACAGTGACATGTTCCACAGCAAGTTTCCAAAACCAGTGACTACCAGCAGCCTTTTGATTATGTGCCATTTGTGTTTGTTTACCCTCAGGTGCCATCTGTGAGTCTGCCATGGGCAAGGCTGGTCTAGTACTAAGTGCATTTACCAGGGTGAGAGGGAGGTTTGTTTAGGTGCCAACAGACAGTTAAATTAGAGGCGTTAGCTAGTTGTTATGTAAGCACAGGGCCAAGCCGGGACATTGTTTTAACATACTTAGTTGTCGTTTCCTTCTTTTGTTTTTTCTTCTAGTCATTATTATTGCGCACATGTGTGTGCATGACATAGATGTCTGGGCCTGGGCCTTGCTGCCTGGATGGAAGAAACCATGAGTTGTGTCTGGGCTTCCACCTCTGTGTATGTTCAGGGGCCTGTGCTCGGACTGCCAGGCTTGAGTGGCTAGAGCCTTTACCCATGGATCCCTCTCACCTTCTCTTTCTTTATTGCACCGTCAGTCCCATAACTGTAGGGAGCAGGTTCTTAACTCTGAGCCAGGCCTGTCCTGTGGATTCTTCACTGGGCCAGCAAAGCGTCAGAGCCTTAGTCTCCAAACTTGAGACTGAAAATTCTCCATTCAGCTTCCACATTTTTCTCTTTCTCATTTATTAAGTATTTACATAGGAAAACTCATTTCAAGTGTTATTTACTGTAGTCTAAAAAAACCCTGAATGTGCTTTTTCCTCTTCAAATGTTATATTTTATGTTCCATCATCTTTCTATGTACTACTGCAGTCTCTGATTAACAAAACCCATTAAATTTTGATAATTGATTCCAATTGTTACAGTTAAAGAGTAAGAACTATTATAGAATTATTAAATTTTCAGAGCTAGGAAGATTTTTAAATTTTAAGCTTTAATGCCCCTCCTTAATTTTCTAAGATCATCGATGCTCATTAGATAAATGTCAGCTGGTAAGATGCTAGCTTACCCAGAATGCTGACCTGATTCAGATCGCTGGTGGCCATGTAAAGGCCAGGCAATCAGGTAATGCAGAGGCATCCTTGTGATCCCCAGTGCTGGGGAGGCAGGTAGAGGATGTCTGGAGCTCGCTGACCAGCTCCAGGGTCACTGAGAGACCCTGTCTCAAAAAAAAAAAAAATAAAAAGGTGGAAAGTCAGAAAAAAATACCCACTGTTGACCCCTGATCGCCATATACATACGTATACATGGTGATACACACTGCAAGTATATATAAACATATACATGTGCATAGACCCCATTCATAAAAAGACGAATGAAGTCTCTGAGTGTCTGTGGCAAATGTTAAGGAGCTTAGCATGGTTTATAAATTCACACAGTAGTGGCTTTCCTGCTTCCTAACAGTTGGTGATATTATACTGTAAAAGGGTTTTTTTTATTACTAAGGAAAACTGAAATATCAACTATAATGAAGAAAAATTTAAACAGTTTTAAATATTCTGATTGCAATGCCATTTCTATTTATCAAAATAAAACTTTTGTGGCAGTCTCTAGGTTCAGAATAGTAGCTTAGTGTTAGGGATACTAATTTTGAGTTTTTGCAAGTCACATCATTAAATAGTATTTTCGACTCAGACTATCACTTATAGACAAGCTAGCTGTACTCTGCCTTCCAGCTTTGGAAGTTACAAAGTGGGTCAGAAAGCCTGTCTCCCTGGATAGCTAGGCACAGAAGACAGGTGGTGCCAGACTGGACCCTGGGCCCTGTCGTTTGGTGAGAGGCCTGTGTCCTTTGGAGACTGTCCAGTGGCGGAGCCTCAGGCCTGTGGCGGCTAAGTGAGGAGGGGCAGCTAAGGCAGCTCCAACCTGGGATCTGCTTGGCTCTGCACGCCTTCCTTGTAGACCTCCAGCTTTCCAGAGGCCTCTACTCTGTCTATAAGGAAAACTAACGTCAGAAAAGTTTAGTTTGGGTTCTGTTTTGCTCAAGGGAAGTCTTAAAAAGGGAATTTTATATTAAGGTCTTAATTTTTTTTTTGTATTATGTTTTTGACTATAATCAGAGAATGAGTTGTCTCCAGGGCTAGGGACGTAAGAAATAACACATTCTTTGTTTAGTCAGAATGATGTATATTTTTATAAAATTGAGCATTTTGGCTATCTACTTCAAATCTCTGGCATATGTTCCATGGTTTATGTGACCTGTCACAATTCTGAAAGTGTGAAAACAACCACCATGGTTTGATTTCAACACATTCTCTGTATTTATAGAAGGATTAACATTAGTACCTGACTACTATATTGTTGGCTTATAAACTTTTCTTTGAAGTAATATAATTAGAATTGAATAAATGGAGAGTGACATATTTACTGGTTGATTAGGCAGAATAACTACTGCACACACACGTACATACTCACACACACACACACACATATATACACACACGTTGTATATTTACATATGCATGTGTATTTATATGCACTTGGCTTACTGAATTTACATACTGAATTGTGATGGTACTGAATTTGCTGATTTACTGGAACTGAATTTGTGTGTAACTTGTTTTGGACTGTTTTATAATAAATGTATATATGTATATGTGTATATACTATAGATTGCTTTATATGTGTGTATGTGTGTATATGTATCACAAGTTGTAAATAAATTCAGTGCCATTTTGATGACAAACAACATTTCTTTGAAAAAGGGCCTGTTAGATTGTTTTATGTATAGAGAATCACCTAAATCAGTTTCTGTGTGGCTGTAGATGTATTAAAATAACCCGAATCTTACAGGGTGAAAATGGTGCCGTGTGACAGAAAAGGACTGCAGAATTAAATCAGTTAACTAGACTGGAAAAGATTCGAGCATTGTATGAAATTACTGTATGAGAAAGGCTGGGTTGCATTTCTCTGAGACAGGGAGTTTTACTTACTTGGTGTTTTAGCATGAGTGGTGATTTCAAAGAAGAGAGATTAGAGCTCTCCAGATGAAAGACCTAAATGGAAGTGCATGGTACTAGAAGAAATTTCAGGTGGCTATTTATGAAATTTTGAAATTGGAAAAACCCTTCCCAGACTAGGCATGCAATAGAGAAGAGATAGGATTATCAGCATACATGGTATTTTTAAAGTTCTAGATGAATACCCTGTAAATTATCAAAATAATTTGTGACACATGACAACCAAACACTTGGTCACCACAGTCTTTAAGTGGAGAAGCATGTAGCCATAGTCATAGATGAACACACAGGACATTTACAGACAGTTCCCGGAAGGGAAGTGTGCATTTCACACTGAAGCAGTACAGTGGTCTTCCATGCAAATGGGGGCAATAACAATCAGAGTAACAGCGTGGGAGAGTTTAACCTGTCTGCAGGGTGGGCTTTGAGAAGGGTCTGAGTGCTGACTGGGGAGAAGTGGCACAGTGCTCAGCAGCGTGACTCATACCTCAGTCTGTCCAAGCATAAGAGAAGTGCCGGTGTGTGCATTCCCAGTTTATAAACATGGTGCCTAACAAGAGACTGAAAAGAACCTACACTCCATTGACAAATAGATGAAGAAATTGTAGTACTCTGGGACTATGCGGTGTCTCACATTGATGTAGAATGTGCCTTTGGTCACAAGTGCTGATTATGAATAATCTCCATGGTAAGGTAGAAAAAGAACAAATGTCAGATGTGAATGCTTATAAAGAATGGTTGGTTTGGAAGAAGAGACATGTGCAAAGCAGTCCTTTATCTTTCTTAAATGATTTCTTCCAGTGTTTTCTTTCTCTCTTCCCCCTCCACCCCCGAGTGTGCACATTTTGTAGGTAACAAATGAGTTGTTGTTTTTGTTTTCCCAAGCCAGGATCTCATACTCTGACCTTAAACTAAGTAACTAAGTCTGGCTTTAAGCTGCCTGTACCTTAAGCGTTGGTATCACAGGTGTGTGTCTCTTCACTCAACTGACAAGTTGTTTAAAAAAATGTATTCTCTATTTTGAACTAGTGATCGTTTGGAATAAATGAGCTATTTTATTAATCAGCACAGGCGAGGTCTTTTGTGGCCAAAGCTGTCCAGCGGTGGAAGGTCATCATGGTACTGTATTGTGAGGTTTTATTTCAGGATTGACCTACATTTCTGACATCGAGTTATATTTTCTTATCCTTTTTTGCAGTGGCAGCCGATTAGGAGGCCTGGTCACAGTGCTGTGCTTCTTCTTCAATCATGGAGAGGTAGGTCGTCAGAAGGTACTTTCAGAATCATGACTGAAATGCAACTTCTTCAAACTAATGTCCTTCTGTAATAGTGTTCCTGAAGAACTTGATCCTGTTATTTTGACCCAAAATTTAAATGCTGGTGTTCTCTTAAGTGACAGGAGTCTCACTAATTTGAGCAAATAGTGAGTCTGGTTTTAAAGCTGGTGGCTCTTATGTTCAAAAAGTAATTCACTTTTAAGTGTCCTGTTCAGACTCTTTGCTGTGCCTGTACGTTTACAAGTCTTCAAGGCAGGTCCAAAGGTGACAACATAAAGGGCGTAGTTCTAGATTCTCGCTGCCTGGGTCTAAGTCCTGGCTCTTTCCTTTAGCACCTGTGCCACCTGAGAAGGCAGTTAATCTGTCTGTGCGTTCTTTGCTTTGTAAATAGGCTCATAGCCTTACTCATCTCTTACAATTATTACATAAATCAGATGAACTCATATATGTAAAGTGCCTAGTACAGGGTTTAAAAAATAAAGTGTCATATGCTTTATAGCCAAGATTAGTAGTTTTATTTATTACTTTAGTTTTCAGATAAAATTTTAATAAATTCAAATTTTTAATGAATTTCTTCCTCTGAGTTAACCATACCTGTAAATGAATTATCTAGTAATATATCTATCCAGGCCTCTCGTGATTATTATAAAGGGGAGGAAAAAGATGTGTGAGATGGTGCATCTTTTGTCCTCATGCCGCAAGTGTCTGCACTTTGGACATCTACTAATTAAAGAGTAATGCTATACAAACTGCCGTCAATGTGAACCGCTAGCCAGTCGCTCACGGAGTCTCACTGATGGGTACTCACTGTTAGAATCACAGAAATACGGAGTAGAACGGCCTGTGGGTGGAGCATTTGACCTGTGGGTGCCCTGCAGCAGCAACAGTGCATTTGCAGTAATGTGAGACTGAGCCAAGAGGAGGATTTGGCTCTTTCCTGGCTGTGGACACTGCTCATTGTAATAGGCTGGATTGTGGGCAGCTTCTCTGAGAATGGTGTCTGAAATGGGAAGTAACTGCTTAATAATGCAAGAAAGGAGCAGTGTATGTTAAGAGTAGGATGCTGGGGCACGGAGATATTGAATATGTAGATCCAGATGCAGCAAGAAAGGCACTGTTGTTGAGCACAGAGGACCGTTGTGCCCCTCACGATCCCTGAGCTATTAGTTCCCCTTCTTATGTTTTTCTTACAATCTTGATGCTCAAGTAACAAGAGCATTATTTCTTAGAATTTTCAATTTTAAAAGTAGATTTCAGAGTAGTCGATTTTTTTTTTTAGGTTGATGGATTTTTTTCCTCTTGACATTTTTCAGCTGTTTAGTTTATTTGAAACATGCTCATTTGGGTATCACTTTCCTAGGAAAAGGTACATGAGATAATTAAAATTAGAATATTAGAATTTTAACTTTATGGAAATGACCAATTAGTTGTTATGTTATATTTAGCTACTGTGGGGCAGAAAAGTAACATTTTTATATGACATTAAAATCTAGACCATACACAATAGTTTTGTTATTATTGGTAAGAATTTAAGTAATTAAAAAACATACTATAAATTTACCATTTGACTTCAGATTATGACAGCTGTAGTCCCTGCTTTCTCCTAATCTTTTAAAACTGTCTCTAGTTGGGTGCATACCTTTTGTCTTGGCACTCACGAGACAGGAAAGTGGATCCCTGGAGCTTGAGGCCAGCCTGGTCTACATAGAGAATTTTAGGTCAGTCAGGGCTACACAGTGAGATCTTGTCAAATAAATGAATGGCGAGTGAATGTCTGCTTCTAAAGTATCCAAACTGTGTTCATACCTCTTAATGCATCCAGCCACTTTTGTAGAGCCTTGCTCAATGAAATTGTTATTGGTTATTAATCAATACCTTTCTTTTTAGAATTGTACTTGTTTATTCGGTGAGTGTGTTGGGGGTGCATCTGGAATGGCATTCATGAAGATCATTGGGCAGCTTTCGTACCCGTTCCCTCTTACCCTGTGTACTCTGGGGATCAAATGTAGGTTGTCGGGTTGGCAGTGGGAGCTGCTACCTTCTGAGCCATCTTGCTGCCCTTGCACTTGACTTTCTTAGAAGGGATCCTTAGTCACAGGAGGGAATTATTCAAATATCAGAGCATAGTTGTGGCTTGTTAGTTACTTTTAGTTTCTTTTTTCATTAATTAGTTGTCTCAGTGGTAGATCGTATTTGGCATAATCTAAATTTTTTTTCCCACAGATGCTATTACAAAGAAATTTTTGCCTTAACAGAAGAGCTGTACAATGCATAGGGCAGGGATATTGCTTGAGTCAGAGCATGTTTACCTTCACTTTCATTTGCTAGTTTTTTTTAAATTTCTTTTAAAGTTTTCATTTGTGTGTCTGTGTCTCTGTTTGTGTGTGTTCATGTTCATATGGCATACACCACGTATGAAAGTCTGAACAAGTTACAGAAGTTGACTTTCTCCTTCTCCATGTGGGTTCTGGGCATTGAACTCAGGACTGAGGCACATGCATTCACCTGATGAACCATGTCACTAGCACTTCATTTACGAGTTTTCACTCTTGCTTTCTCTCTTTTTTTAAAATTGATTCTTATTGAGCTCTACATTTTTCTCTGCCCCTCCCTGCCTTTCCCCTCCCTCCTTCAATCCTCCCCCAAGGTCCCCATGCTCCCAATTTACTCAGGAGATCTTGTCTTTTTCTACTTCCCATGTAGATTAGATCTATGTATGCCTCTTTTAGTGTCCTCATTGTTGTCTAAGTTCTCGGGGATTGTGGTTTGTGGGCTGGTTTTCTTTGCTTTATGTTTAAAAACCACCTATGAGTGAGTACATGTGATAATTGTCTTTCTGGGTCTGGGTTACCTCACTCAAAATAATGTTTTCTAGCTTCATCCATTTTCCTGCAAAATTCAAGCACTCTTGTTCTGTACACACCTTACCCGGTCAGGCATTTCCCTGCTCCCTTTGGCTATGAGGTGCAGACCCGTTGGCATCTTGCCTTACACATCTTGGAACATGCTGCCTGAAAGCTTCTCCACTGTCATGACGCATACTTGAGATTTGGTGATCATATATTATAATCAGCAGTCAACTTTCCACAGTTATCCCTGTCAGTTCCTTTGTGCTTTTGGATTGGATGCAGGGTTTAAGACCACACATGGTTCCTAGTTGCCTAGTTGCTCCTGGAAGCATTATCTTGAATGCTTCTTTTAGCACAGGTCTTCTGTCCAGCCGATTGGGCACTCCTTTAAGAACTCATGCCTGCTGCTTTGTAAAGGCTCCACGATTCTGACTTGTCTGTTTCCTCATCAGCGGGTCCCGATTAGACAGTTTTCAAAGACCGTAGCAGATATGTCATCTTTATTGCAATACATTGAGTCTTATGAGACCAGTTGGCTACATTATTGGATTTCTTCAAGCAGTCCCATGGTTCAGGTGGTAGAAGTCAGTTTATCTGTTGGGAAGATGCTCCTTTCTTTTTTAGAACAGTAAATAGTGTATGTCTTGATGCTTTGTAATATAGAATGTCTCGTTTCCTTAAAGCGTCTTACCAAATGCCCACATCACTGGTGGTCACTGCCCGAGTCATTTTCTCTGTTGGCATTGAAAATGGCAGTTTCCTAATTCTCTTACTTCATCTATGATTAGTAATTGATGCTTTATAAAGACAAATCTTTTACTTTTTTTACCATTACTATATATTTGAGCTCTTTTTATATGTTCTATAACCTGTCATCATAATTCTTGATATTCAGATCATTACAGATTCAATAGTAACCTTGACTTTAAATGTTAAATAATTTACATATATTAATATCCCATGTGGGAACTGTCAAGCTGAACAGATTTTACACATGTACCCAATTATGTAGCCTCTCTCTAGACCACCAGTGGTTCTCAACCTTCTTAACTCTGTGACACTCATGCTGTGTTGACCCTCAGTCATAAAATTATTTTGTTGTTACTTCATCATAATGTAGATGATGTAGATGCAACCCAAGGGGTTGCAACACACAAGTTGAGAATCACTACTCTAGTAAGATACAGATGGTTTTAGCCCTCAGCAGGCATTTCCATGACCTTTTCTAATCTACACTCCTAACTTCCTCCAAGGGAAATAACTCCTGTCTCTGTCATTATTGATGGGTTTGGTACTTTTGAGACTTTACAGATATGGATTCCTACTTTCTTTTTTGAAATAGTATTTTGCCTTTGAAAGTTTCTTATATGTATATAGTATATCTTAGTCATGTCTACCTGACCTCCAGCTCCCCCCAGAAGCTTCCAGCACATCTCCCTTCCCACTTCATTGCTCATTATTATTATTATTATTATTATTATTATTAGTCCACTGAGTCCAGTCAGAGCTGCCTACAAGTGCATGGGTGTGAGGCATTCGCAACTTAGCAACTTAGCACCCTCCAGAAAAGTGACTCTCCTTCACCCAGCAACCATCACCCAGCAGTAGCTCCTCAGCTAGGTATGGGGCCGTGGGAGCCCCTCCCACATTCATGCTGGACTCTAACTGGATTGTACAGGTAGCCATAGCTGCTATGACTTTGTGTGTGTAGTAGCTAAGTCATGTCTAGAAGACTGCTTGATAGCATTTTTTCCAGATCTTCCAGCTCATATCCTCTTACATAGTGACCGCTGGGCCTTGGGGGTAGGGACAAGTTGATTGAGATGCCCCATAAAACAACTTGATACTTATAGTCTCTTACTCTTAGCACTCTGAACAATTATGGATCCTACCTAACCATTACTCACACACAATAAGAATCTTCTTCTGCCATACTTGAGACTAGCACAGATCTGTGGGTGTGAACATAAATATTTATAAGGCAGTTTGCTAGTTTAGCACAACATCATCACTGGTTTCTGTTGTAGACCTGTGACTTCTATGGTCTTCAGGTTTGATTTGGTTTACAGAACCTAATGGTTAATCCCAGGACAATTATGCCACTATTGCAACAGTAAACACACTGGCCTGCCAGATTGGTATTGGTATTGTAGCACCCAGGATTTAGCACTGGATAAAGCTGCTGGTGCATTTTCTTCCCTATTACCCTGTATAGTACCTTTGAGCACTACCTGAATGGCTAGCCATCCAGGAGAGAGTTTCATGGTCAGTTCAAGCTTGATTTCTCTCTGTCCTTTAAGGAGGAAGGGACATACTAGAAGCAGAAGAGTTGACACAGGTCTAGAGTGATAGGAATGGGGAATTAAGAGGGAGGAGAAAAGTCAACCAGTATGAAGTGTGTATGAAAAAGCTGTATGGAAATCTATGTTCGCATATCTCAAGTAAAAAGGGTAAAATGTAGAACACATGGAACATCAAGGAATGGGAGGGTATTTGGGACAGGGGCCAGGGGAAAGGAGGGCTATGGGATGGGTTATCTGAAACTAAGGCTGTGTGAAGGAAACCTCGTACTCTGTAAGCTATTAACATTATAGTTACTGTTTTTAGAGGAACTTGAGCAGAGGTGCCCCATGTATAACCAGTGCTGCTCCCAGAAGACAGATGCGTGCTCGTAGATGCAAATCTTAGAGTTCGGCCCAGGTCACCTTCCCACTAGTTTGACCAGGGAGGCCCCAAAGACACCCAAAACGATCTAGACTTTTGCCATAGTTCTTGCTCACTTGCCAGCTAGATGGTAAGATCCTGGTGCTAGAGTCATACTTTCCTGTGCTTGGCTTCTTCCTCTCAACCTGTGTCTATGGCATTATTTGCCCATATTGTCTGTGAAAGTCCCAGCTCTCGCTTCCGCCAGCATAGTACAGAAGTCCGGTTTCCTTTCCATCCGGGCCAGTGTTTAGGGTTTAGTCCTCTTCCTGTCATTCCTTCCGAGTGAGTACAGGGATAGCTTGTGCACTTTCCCAGTTGGTTCTGATCCAGAGTACGTCCACGTCGTGTTTCCCTCTCGTGGAGTGTCTGTTAAGTCGTTGCTCATACAGATCTGAGTTCTTTCTGTTGCTATGTGGAAGCTGCAAGAATGCTGCAGTTCTTGTGAGCATGTTCTGCAGGACCACCTCATAGCTGCAACATTTTGCTTTCTTCATCCAGTGTCTGCCTGTTTTGTTCTGTGAGCCCCTCCATGAATTTAGCCAGGAACTCCAGTGTCACTGTGTATCTGAAACTTTCCGCTTGAACCTGGTGGCTTCATCAGGGGTACACAGCTAAAGAATTGACTGATCTGTCCCCAGGACATTCAGTAGCCATTAGTGCAGCCGAGAGAAGGGCCCCATGAGTCCTCCAAGATTTGTGATCGGCTGCTGACTGGCCCAGCTTTGTTTAGGCAGGGCAGGCAGCCATAGTTGCAGTGGCTACCCATGCACAGAGGACAACTTTTAATAGCCTTTCTCCCTGTCTTGTGGCTCTTAAGTTCTTCCCATACTGTCTTCCAGGATGTTCTCTGCACAGAGGTGATAAATGTCCTTTTTAGGGCAGAGCAGTCAGTTTTCACTTTATGGCAGTCCTGTGTCTACATTCAATGCTGGTAATGGCATCAAGAGCTTCTCTGGGAAAGGCTCGGGCATTTCACTTCTTTCAATACATTCTTTCAGTCTTTGAACACTTTCTGGTTTAAAGGATGCCTCATGATAACCTTCTCTCAAGATACAAGACCAACTTTTTCCACAGAGTCTTGATCCTATTGGGGAAAATGGTATTTAGAGGTCACGGTTTGAACTATAAGCACTTGCATCTCCCCCAGCACTGAGCGTCTCTCTGCTAAGAACAGTCTTCCCTCTAGCTGTTTGGAAATACAGCTTGTTGTAATGAGTACTAACTAATTAACTTGTAGCCATTTTATTCTCAGGTGTTATCTCCAAAGGACATAAAACTTTAATCAAAAGTTACCTACAGGGGCTGGAGAGATGGCTCAGCGGTTAAGAGCATTGCCTGCTCTTCCAAAGGTCCTGAGTTCAATTCCCAGCAACCACATGGTGGCTCACAACCATCTGTAATAGGGTCTGGTGCCCTCTTCTGGCCTGTGGGCATACACACAGACAGAATATTGTACACATAATAAATAAATAAATACTTTAAAAAAAAAAAGTTACCCACACAGCATTAGTCACAGTGCCCAGGATAGAGAATCAGCAACAGTTGCTTACTGGTGGACAAATGGGCGAGGACAGTACGATGTCCATATGCTCCATATGCGGCTTGAGTCTCATGCGTCTTTGTCCAGCAATACCTCTCCCTTTGCAGTGTTTCTGTCTAGAGAAGACGCAGCAGCATGCTTGCAGTGCTCCATTTGAGGTTCACATGGGAATAGTTTGTGTTTGTTTGATAGCACCCCACACCTTGTACCTGGAGTGGCTGCATTCTCTGGCCTGTTTGTTTTTCAGTGTACCCGAGTGATGTGGACGCCTCCTCTCCGGGAAAGCTTCTCATATCCATTCCTTGTACTTCAGATGTTGCTTGTGACTCACATCCTGAGGTAACTTTCACTGACTCTGCTCTTGGGGTTTATTTTCCCCTAACTTAAACTATAAGCTACGAGTTTTATTTTAAAAGAATGTCTTAAATTTCCTTAGTAAGATTGATGCAGTAAAGCTAAGGTGATCTTGTTATTGAAATGATTAAAGATAATTTTAAAGCCTTTTGTAAAAAATGTAACTTTGATAACTACTTAGTACCACAGACCTGCCCTCTGGTTCTCTTTTCCTCTGGGGTTCATGGCAACTGCTTAGAGGAGTAAACCCACTTTCGCTTATACTGCTCCATACCTCCCTGTCTTTCTCTTGTACCATGTCAGTTGCTAGGAGAAGGAAGAGGCTGGGCATGCTGAGCCTCATCCTGTAGGACTCAGTCCTTTGGGACAAGAAGAATTGATAGACTCATCATTGGGAGCACTAACACATGGAGTTCGTCCTGGGAGTCTGGATATCTAGTAGTGGTAGAAAGAAACAGCCTATATATGCTAAAGGTATGCTAAGTTAATTCCCGTTAGAAATCCAGAATTGAATTAGACTTAGTTAAGAGCCCAGACAGGTTTAAGTACCACTGAAAAAGAGTGAGAGCAGCTTTTCTTTCAGTGGATACATGCTGAGTTTAGACATGCATTGCCTTGATCCAGGGCACAAACATAGAATAGAGTCTGTGAAAAACAGGTCAAAGCTTATAAAATTTGAAGCTATCTTAATCTGAGAACTCCACTCGGTGGTCTGTTGAATTTGGAAGATGAAGGTTGCTGTGCTAAACCCTTTGGGCATTTGCCTCTGTAATGTACTTAAAAGTCAGGGCCTGTGCACAGCTTCATGTGTCTCTTGTAGTCTCATCAGATAGCCCTTTCACAGGTCAAATGAGTGGTGACTTTTATATTGTGAGCTTTTAAAAGTCCACATACCTCCAGCAAAATAATCCACTGGGCAAGAGAATGCCCTTGCCTCATCTGCTGACAGTGTGCTGTCCTAATTGGACAAAGAGGACACAGAAGAGAGTGGCCCAAACCTTGCCCAGACAAAGAGAGACAGTCCTTCAAAAATCCTGCTTCATAGAAAAGTCTGTCAGATATTCTAGGCCTGTAGGCTGAAGACGGATACCCCAATGTTGCAGAGGAACTTTGACTGTCCCGGCAGCTGCCTATTTTTGTCATTTCTCACATTTTTTTGAAATTTCTTGTTTGCATTTCCTGCTTGCTCAGTTAATATTATTTCCTGCTTGGGTCTCTGAGGGAGGTGAGGACTAGATAGCTATAGTTTCCTTGTTACCAGACGCAGAAAAGAAACTCACTAAAGAGGTGAAAAGTGTATAAGGTTGAGAGACACCAAAAGATAGTTTTGGATGGCAATGCAAGTTATGATAGAAAATAAATTAGGTACACAACTTTGGACCCACCAAGGTAGGATAGACAATGGAGTATTTTCTCGGAATTTTTCAAATGTAAATGAACTAGGCATCACTGATGTACTTATTGTATATAGTCATTGTACTTATTGTATATAGTTTTCTTATATTAGTTATAACATCTTTTTATTTTAGACAAAAAAGGGAACGTGTAGTGATATTTTGTTTGTTTGTGTTTTAACAAATAAAGCTCGTCTGAAGATCAGAGTACAGCGCTAAGTCACTAGAGGCCAGGTGATGGTGGTTTACACTGTTAATCCTAGTACTTGGGATCTCTGGCCTTTAATCCCAGCACTAGGTAGGTGGAGACAGGAAGGGATATGGCTGGGCAGGGAGAGGAATATAAGGTCAGAGGAGATAGGAGCTCAGTGTAGTCTGGAGATGTATTCTGAGAATGCAATCTGAAATGCAGTCTCAAGTAGTCAGTCAGAGGAAGCAGACTGAGGACAGGATAGCCTCTTTGGTCTGAGCACCCGTAGAGTTAAAGGTCTCTCTATTGCTGGTCTCCCTGATTCTCTAATCCTTCAACTTTCACCCCCTAATATCTGACTCTGGGTTTTATTATTAAGACCAATTAGAATTTGTGTTACACCCCTAGGTCTATTATAGGTTTGGGCGTTTCTTTGCACCTCCAGATGAGGTCCAGCCCTGCCTGCTTGCTCCTGGGGCTGAGCGACAGGACCTCTGTGCACTCTGGAGGGAGTAAGTGCTGCACTGCAAGCCCGCCTCGGCTCACCTGCAGGAGCCATTTTCACACCCACAAGGCCATTCTTGCCTTTCCCCCATGTGTACAGGCACTAGACTGTTCAGGAGTGTCTGGTCACTTCTGTTTCTGCTTCTGTTGAGTCCAATGAGGATGAACCAGCCTCTCATTCTTTGTCCTCCCTTCCTCTCTCCCTCCTTGCTCCCCACCTCCCTCCCTCTCATGAGCTTTGGGTGAGTGGCAGCTAAGAGGCTGAATCAGTGTAGATTGGTACTTACAACCTTGTATCTGTCTGGGCAGGGGACCCAACCCTCAGGCTCTGGCAGGGCTATATCCTTCCTAGGGCCTTTCAGAAAGAATCAGTTTCCCTGATTCCACAGCTCTCCTTTGTATATTGGCTCCCTTTAAATCAATGGAGAACTGGGCCCTTCCTTCCCCACATTTATTCTGCCCTTCTCTGTTTCCTTCTACATCCAAGAACCTTGTAATTGCTCTCGGCCCAGCAGAATAACCAGCATCCTCTCCCTGTCTTTGGGCTAGGTGACTAGAAATCCTAACTCTGCCTGAATGCCCTCTTCCCCTCTGCCATGTCCTGTATCATCCTCATGGGCTCCAGGATTCAGACATCTGCCCAGGGCTGCTCCTGTTGCCATGACCTGCTCTTTCTGGGGTTACTCTTGAGTTTTTCGTCAGGGTTCTTCTGTGTTCTGTGCTCCCCACCGCCTCTTTGAGGGCAGGAATACTTTAGAAATGAGGTTAGCAAGAGTTTTTAATTTAGCAAATTGATTTGCAGTCTAGAATTGTGTTTTTGAAATCTAGGTTTACAGACACCCCCCCCCCAAGCATCATAGCATCTGATTTTCCTCGATTGTTCTTAGTAATGTTTATGTTTTCATTTCTCCTGTCCAAAGTTAGTGGTGTATTGATCACTACCAGCTGGAATTCCTTTGGTTTCTTTTGGTTCTTATCTTCTCTTGAGTGCATTCTGTACCCAACTGCCAGGTTAGTGTTACATTCTATCCCTAAATCCATAGTTTCCCTTGTTACCTATAAAATGAAAATCAAGCCTTATATTCAAAAGCAATAGAAAACTGCTTTATTTCACAAAGTGGTATTCCCACCTCTTGAGTGTGGTCTATCCTATTAGAAGTAAGTGTTCTCTGTGGTCCAGCCCATAAGTGATGGGAAGCACATGGGTGAAGCTGAAGCTTCACAGACTAGAGCCCTGTTCTACTGTGCAGCCAGCATGTTCTGTCTTTTCTGCTTCATCAAAAGTACTGGTTTTCATCTAGTTACTTCATTCTGTAAGGTTGTCTGGAGTTTAACAATACTTGGATTAGTTCCTCAGGGAAGAAGTAGTCAAGGAAGGCACTAATGGTGGTGTCCCTGTATTGCCTACTTCTCCCCTCGGTGCTAGTCTGCACTCTCTCTTTCTGTGAAAACGATGGCAGACGTAGGACTTGGCATTAGCTCACATGTGGGAGTAAAGGCTATTTCCGAAAGTCTCCTAAAGTACTCGCTGGTCCTAACATGACACCCCTAGCGGTGGTTCCAGCACAGCCCCTTCCTTTGCCTCTCCTTCTTTTTTCCAAGGTGCATCCACAGAAGACTGGCTTTTATGCTAATTTACCTCACTCTCTCTTACCCAGCATCCTATCCGCACAGTGTTTGACTGCACACTGCTTAACTTATAGAATGTGCCACTTTGTCATTTTTCCTAGACACTCCCTTACTTTTCCAACTAATGAATCTATTGACTTAACTTTTAAGAAGTCTTATTATAAATTCACTAAAATATAATGTGAAGAAAAGTAATGACTGTATTCACCTGGCCTGCCTCCCTTTATTTGGCAGGGCTTGTGGTTTTGCAGTAATAATAGGTATTTACATTTTATAGAAAATTATTATAATTGAAAATCAGAAGGTATAATTTCTAACTCATTGGTTCATCTTGCATGCAGTTTATGTGAACCCCAGGTCCTGTTTGTGATTCTGATTGACAGCAGTTTGGAGCTATGCTGGACTGTTTTGTAGTTAAACCTCCTGATATTTATCTTTTCAAGGGCTACAAAACTTTACAGAGGGAGCTTGATTGCACTCTGCATTTCCAATGTATTCTTCATGCTTCCTTGGCAGTTTGCCCAGTTCGTGCTTCTTACTCAGGTAAGGTGGGCACATTCTAAAACTGGTGTATTTGGGCTTAGTGCTTCTGTTTATGCAAGCTCATCTGTATAAAATTGTAACCAAGATTTCCTTGTTATTTTTTTTTGAGACTTTCTATGTGAGTACTGCATTAACACCATTCTCCTACTCTCCACCCGACTCCTCCCATGTCCACTTTCAGATTCATGCTCTTTTATCACTTTTGTATTGACGTTACACACTCTCTCTCTCTCACACACACACACACAAACACACACTCTCTCTCTCTCTCTCTCACACACACACACAAACACACACACACTCTCTCTCTCACACACACACACGCACACACAAACACTCACACACACACTCTCTCTCACACACACGCACACACACACTCACATACACACACACTCTCTCTCTCACACACACACTCTCTCTCACACACACACGCGCGCACACACTCTCACACACGCACACACACACACACACTCTCTCACTCACACACACACACACTCTCTCTCTCGTCTCTCTCTCTCACACACACACACACACTCACACACACACTCTCACACACACACACTCTCTCTCTCACACACACACACTCTCTCTCACACACACACACTCTCTCACACACACTCTCTCACACACACACACTCACACACACTCTATCACACACACTCTCTCTCTCACACACACACACACCCACTCTCTCACACACACACGCACACACGCACACACTTAGAAATACACTCTGCAGTGTTTATCAGGAGCACCTGATGTATGTGTGTACTTGAGCTGACTGCCCATCTGTCTTCATTCCTGGAGCAGACTGGTTCCTCCTGTCTCAGGACTCTGAAGATATTTCTTCTTCATTATTTTAAAGAAAATTCAGAGCACGAATCTTTGTGAGATTAATTTATTAATAAATATTATTACTTACTAGTAAAACCAAGTTTATAAGAATGCTTATCTTTGTTTTTTCATAATTATTAGAGGGCTGAAAAGAAAACTAGTAGACAGCCTGAAGTACTTCTCTTGAGGAAAATACGTTTCTTCTATGAATAGTTCCTTAAATATTTTACTAACATTCAAGCATAAATATTATTTATTTGGATCAAATTCATTCCTCTTATTCCCTTCCCTTCAATTCCTCTCCTTTTCTCCCTACTACCACTCTTCCCTCCCAACTTGTGTGCTTGTATACTCACATGCCCCCATTTCATATGCTCAGCCCTCACCCCCACACCAGCTGAATGCCTTCAGTTCTGTTTGTATGTGTGTAAGTGTGCGATCCTCAACCCAGGAAAAGCATCTCAGGGCCCTGAATCTCTGAAGGAAACTGACTATCTCTAGTCATCAATTGCCAATAGATCTTCCAATAAGGGTGAGACTTCAAGAACTCCTTCCCAGTCCATTGTGGGATTTTTGCTGGGGCTGCCTTAAATCATTACATGAAGAATCAGTATGTGTGGAATACTGTAAGTGGAGGTTTTTCTGTCCGACCCGATCCCTTTAAAACAATCACTCAGAGGCTTAATAATTACAAACGTTTTGACCTGTTAGCTCAGACTTTTTACTAACTAGCTCCTACAACTTAAATTAACCCATTTCTATTAGTCTATATTTTACCATGAGGCTTATAGCTTGTTAACTCACATCTTGCATCCCCTGTGGTTGCTGGCGTCTCCCTGACTCTGCCCTTTCTCTCCCTGTATCTCTGCTTGGATTTCCTGCCTGGATCTGTTCTGCCTGGATGCTAGCCAAATTAGCTTTTTTAGTAACCGATGATAATAAAACATACAGTATATACAGGGATTATCCCACAGCAAGAGAAAAAGCAGGCAATAAGTTCATGTTTTAAGTGGCTCCCCTAACAGCCTGCAGTTTATCATCTTTCCGTGTATCCCCGCGTCTCTCTTCTGGGTTTGTAAAGCAAGGGGCCCTCTGAGAGAGGAGGGCTTTGTAGGCTCAGGTTTTTTTGTACTTGCTTTATGAAATTATGCTTACCATACTTATATAACACTATTGGAGAGATGCTTTAAATACTCAGATGCCTTGCCTCAGAGATAAAGGCATATCTGGATTTGAGTTTTAACTCTTTGCTACCTTCTTAGGCAAAACAAAAGAAATTAGCAAATACCCTAGAAAAACAAAAAAAAGAAAACAAAACTTTTAGCTTTTCTTCGTTCCAGGTTTATCATTTCTGAAACACAGGAATGAAAGTGCTCACTTTCTGAGGTTGGCTTAGCATCAGATATTAGTGTGTATACATACTCAGCCAGATGTCAGTGAGGTCAACTGTTCTGATTTGTTTTATGTTTTGAGGCAGAATCTTGGTGGCCTCAAAAGTGATGGCCCTCTACCTGTGACCTCCTGGTTGCTGGGTTCACAGCCACTCCTTCCACGGGGCCTCACTAATTGCTCTTTTCTTTATTTAAAAACCAAAAGTCAGTTGGGTTTATATACGTCTTCTTTGAACTGATCTTCGGGATTTGTTTTTCTTCTTTGGTTTGATTCTATTTAAATTTATTGTATGGACTGAGTTATCCTTAAAATCCTGAGATTGTGCCCTGTAGTGATCTGTGTGTGGCTCGGTTCCAGGGGGTGAGAAGGAGCTTTTCAATGGCTTCCAGGCAGGGGGATAGCCTGCACTAAGTGGGGAGTGGAGGGATATGTGGAGAGGAGCAGGTGTATCCTGCCTCCCATGGGGCTAATGCAGAACAGCACACACCTGACCACAGTGGTCAGTCATATCAGGCTGGTCACGCTGGAGTGGTCCGCGTGGGTAGCTGGGAAAAGAAACCGTGGTTTTCTTATCAGTAGGAACATTTGCTGTAAAGGACTTGTAAATTAAAAGATCAATCAAAAAAAGCTTACTAGTTGGAACATAGGTATATGCAGATATTTACCTGTTAGGCAGTGTTTCCATATGTATATGAAGAGGTGCAGGATTTAATTTGAATGACTTCCCTTTGAAAAGGGTAGAGGGACACTGTCTGACATGGTATCTCCCTACATGTGCTGGAGTATCATTTAATCAGTGAATCCTTCTAAATCTAGTAATTTTAGAATTTGTGATAAATCTGGAATTCTTCAGAAAAGATTTTCTTCAAGTGGAAAAGAAAGTTATATGTATTATTCTTTTAAATATGAAACTTGACAAATTTGATTACAACTAGCCTGTGACCATTTATTTGAATTATTCATAATGCTAATGGAGGTGACAAACAGGAAGACTTAATGTGTTTTTGTATAAATACACATCACCTAACTGCTTTTTAGTTTACTATGATTTCTGCAATTATGTCTTAGTGGTCATGTTATAATTATATTTTCAAGTGTTTGATTGGCTAGAGGACATTTTAATTATATGTATTGACAGTAGAGACAGCCTGATATTAAAATGAGTGTTGTTTTGGACTCTCCGCAGAGTAGATACTTCACATAGTTGCATATTAGGAGAGCAGTATAAGTGAAAGATCAATTAATAATCATATTCAATAATAAATTGGCAGTTGGAAGGAAAACTAAGACACTCTGTATAAAGATAATTTGATATAATAAAATAATCTTGTCTTTATTCTTGTTACTACTTGTTTTATCTATGTATATATATGATTTTTATTTTTAACATAATTTCTTTTGATTTCAGATTTCATCATTATTTGCAGTATATGTTGTGGGATACATTGATATATGTAAATTACGGAAGATCATTTATATACACATGGTAATGCTTTTTGTTTATTTTCTACTTAGTGTGGCCTTAATAAACTCCTGATTGATACCTGATTTGTTCATTTATGAAGCAGGTTATAACATGATTCTTTCATGACATAAGTGTTGTCCAAACACTGATAACAGTTGACCTTGTTAAATAGACTGCCAAGGAAGTTTTAATTTGGATTTCACTGTCTTGTTGACCCTGTGCCCAGCCTCCGTACCTGTGTGCCTGCAGAGCCTTCTAGAGTGACGTGGAATGTCCGCTTACTGGGCACGTGAGACACACACAGGTCCAGAGCTGCAGAGCTCTCAGCATGTGTGCTGCTGACCTAGTCAAGAGGGAAAATTGGAAATATGATGCTTCCTAGAAAGCAATTAGAAACTAAAGAATGAAAAACCTAAGAGAGTAGGGCGTATCTGGAATAAAAAACTGGGGAAGGAGATGGAGGCTGTAAAGGTGGAACAGGGCAGGGAGAGGAGGGCAGACAGGCAAATGACCTTACAGCAAACAGTGATCTTGGCAAACAACTAGAGGAAGCCTCAAGACAGGATGGTTGGTGCTGGTTGTGCTTGGAAAGCATTTGTCTTCTCTTTGCCACTCCTTTTCCACTTAAAGTTACTGTTTTCTTCCTCCAGGGATCTTAATGTTGTTTCACTGGACCATTATTGCCTTTCCTTTTTTTCTTTTTTAACTTATTAGATTTTAAGAAAATACCAATCCAAGTTCCCACTCCCTCCCCTCCTCCCATTCCCTCCACACACCCTCCCCTCCCACTCCCATCTAATCTTCAGAGAGGGTAAGGCACATTGCTTTGTGGAAGGTTCAAGGCCCTTCCTCCTATATCTAGGCTGAGCAAGGTATCCATCCAAAGAGAATAGGTTTTCCAAAAGCCAATACATGCAGTAGGGATAAATCCCAGTGCCGCTGCCAGTGGCCCCTCAGTCTGCCCCAGTCATGCAACTGTCAACTACATTCAGAGGGACTAGTTTGGTCCTATGCTTGTTCCTTCCCAGTCTGGCTGGAGTTGGTGAGCTCCTATTAGCTCAGGTAAACTGTTTCAGTGGATGAACCCCTCATGGTCTTGACCTCTTTCCTCATATTCTCATTCCTTCCACTCTTCAACTGAACTTTGGGCGCTCAGTCCCTCCAGTGCTCTGATGTGGGTCTCTGCCTCTGTTTCCATCAGTTGCTGGATGAAGGGTCTATGGTGATATTTAAGATATTCATCAGTCTGATTACAGGACAAGGCAAGATCAGGCACCCTCTACTCTATTGCTTAGGGTCTTAGCTGGGGTCATCCTTGTGGATTCCTGGGAATTTCTCTAGAGCCAGGTTTCTTGCTAGCCCCATAATGGCTCCCTCAATCAAGATATCTCTTTCCTTGCTCTCATCTCTGTTCTTCCTCCATCTCAACTATCCCATTCCCTCAAGTACTCCTCAACCCTCCCCTTCGCCCCTCCTCTTGCTCTTCTTCCCTTCCTACTCCTCCCACCCCCACGCTCCCAATTTTTTCAGGTAATCTTGTCCATTTACAAATTCCAAGTGGGTCTGTATATGTTTTTCTTTGGGTTCACCTTATTACTTAGCTTCTTTAGGATCATGAACTCTAGCAAAGGACACAGTCAATAAGACAAAAAGGCAACCTACTGAATGGGAAAAGGTCTTAACCAAGCCCACATCAGACAAAGGACTGATCTCCAAAATATATAAAGAACTCAAGAAATTCTAAATCACCCAGTTAAAAAATGGGGTACTGAACTAAACAGAATCAAGAATCTCAAATGGCGAAAAGATACTTAAGAAAATGTTCAACAACAGCAGCTTGAGCCGTGGCTCGGCAGCTAGGAGCGCCTAACGCTCTGCTCTAGTGCCAGAGGACCCAGGTTAGAGTCCCGCCTGGTGCCGATAGCGATCAATAATCGATCATTATCAATAATCGGGAAAAAAAAGAAAATGTTCAACATCCTTAGCTGTCACACGGAAATGCAAATCAAAACAACTCTGAGATACCATCTTACACCTGTCAGAATGGCTAAGATCAAAAACACTAATGATAGCTTGTGCTGGAGAGGATGTAGAGTAAGAGGAACACTCATCCATTGCTGGTGGGAATGCAAACTTGTACAACCACTTTGGAAATCAGTATGGCGGTTTCTCAGAAAATTGGGAATCAACCTTCCTCAGGATTCAGCAATACCAATCTTGGGCATATACCCAAAAGATGCTCAATCATACTGCAAAGCCTTTGTTCAACCATGTCCATAGCAGCATTATTTGTAATAGCCAGAACCTGGAAACAACCTAGATGTCCCTCAATGGAAGAATGAATAAAGAAAATGTGGCACATTTAATATTAGAGTACTACTCAGTGGGGAAAAAAATCTTGAATTTTGCATGCAAATGGATGGAATTAGAAAGCAAGTGAGGTAACCCAGACCCAAAAAGATGAATATGATATGTACACACTCCTAAGTGGATACTAGCTGTAGTCAAAGGACGTTACCTTTCCTTTTCTCATAGTTGACACTTAGGGATGTTGATATGTTTGGTTGTAGGAAGCTTATGAATAAAGGTACAATGTTAATGAGCATGCAACTACCATCCTAGCAAAGCATAGAGTACTCTCACCTCTTTAGGCAGTGACCACTGTCCTCTCTGAGCCATAACTGAGTGGCTTTCCTTCTGGTTTGTTGTGTGGATATTTCAGGATAGTCAATGTGTTTATGAACTAAGAACAGTTTTTCAGGCTGATGTAAATGACTTTTTTCTGAGACAGAAGTTTTCTCTCAGGTTTCTGGGATTTGCATGTTACTAAGTTTAGAAAGGTACACTACTGTGTATTTTCCATTGTATAAATGCAACAGTTTATTTCTGTGTTTCCTTGTTAAAAGACAGTGAAGTTCTTGCTGCCGGGTCTTTCCATTAGGAAGTAATGGTGTGTAGTCCTACTTCTCTCTCCTGGGGGAAGTGTATGGCATCTCTTGGCAGTCTACCTGGTACTGTATTTGCCCCATGCTAAATTATGCACATGTTTATCTTTGTAACTGCTAAATCATTTTTCAGTTGATGATTTAAAATAGCAATGTATAATGACACTAATGACACTCCATTTTATTTTATTCAAGTATAATGTCTGATTATGTAAAATAGTACAATGCAATTATAGTGTACATTTTCTTTTTTTCCATGAATCTGAGCATCTTTGATGTGTTTAGTCACCCCCTGTTTTCATTTCTGAGCCTTTCCTGCTCAGATTTTTTTTTTTTTGTAGATTTTCTCTTATGTTAGAGAGATGGGATCTCTTTGATTCTGATAGATAGAATCCATTGTTTATATTCTGTTTGTTATGTGAATTACTCTAGGTTCATTCCACTGTTCTTTGTGACTTCTCTTTTGGCATGCTTTCATCATGCTTTGACTTCTTTTCAAAAGAAATGAATACCAATATGTTTTATGAAAAGCTTTCTTTCCTCTGCCAGTTGATCCTGTGTGATTCCTTCTTCAGTCCATGTCATAGTGAAGTCACATTAAAACAAGCAAACACCCTTCATTAGGCGGTGGTGGGAGGGAATGCTAGACATAATTTCTAACTATTGTTATAATTTTACTTGTCTATAAATTCTAAAGTTTATCTTAATATTCTTTTACTTTTCTTTTCTTAAATATACTTATTTTTCTTCCCAAACTGAAGTCTTTTACTTTGAAGTACAATTCAGAATAAAGGCCAGCGTTCCATCCCATTGGCCTGTAGCCCAGTTACACAGGCAGCTATGGCTGAGAACTTTGAAGAAAGTCAATAAATATTGAAAAGACAAGATTTTGTTTATTCTCTTTCTTGGAAGTATGATATATGCTTTCAGTAATTTTTTAATTATCTCCTGGCTTCCTCTGTTATCACTTTGCCTATTTATAGATTCTTAAGGGTATATCAAGAAAAATATATATGGAATTATTTCCCTAAAAAACTTTCCCCACATCTTCATGGTAGAGGTCATGTAACAGAATGTGTCCTCGGAACAGCTGGGCATGGAGCTGGGTGGTAGTGATGCTCACAGTGGCTGCGAGCCTCACAGTCCAGTTCAGGAGCTGAAGCTCTGCATCTGCTGCACATGGCTCCGTAGCCTCCCATCACAGTATGGAAACCAGCGCTGTGTGTTCTCGCTCTGCTAATGACTGTCTTCTATGTCATATAAGTGAAAAATGGTGCAGCAGATGTCTTCCTGGCCTGCTTCTTTAGTTTAGCATTGTGGTCTCCAGTTTATTCTGTGTTGTATCATGTGTTGTGGTTTGTTCCTTTCTGTGGATGACCAGCATCCCATTGTTGATAATGTGTGTGGGGTGGAAAGAGGTATCACATTGTATTGTCTGCTGTGGACACTTGTGTTGCTTCTGGACTTAAACTATAGCAAAAACACTTAGAGGAACATGAGAATCTTTTCTGGTTTTCAGAGTAGAACTGATCAACTGACAATCCAGTGATACTAATTCCTACAGCAATGGTACCATTTTATAGGCTCTTCAATAAATAATAAAAAAAAGACATTTCTGTCTCTGAAAAGTTATTGTAACCTATCTAATAGAATAGGATGTCTCATTTTAACTTTTCCTTGACTTGTGTAGCATGATTAATAAAAACCCAGAGACAGAATTTGGGGTTCAACCTGAAAGTCAGAAAAGCAAAACATCCAGCCACTGGCTCTTACCTCTACTTCAGTCTGAAATGGCAGTCCTGCCTCTAAGAATCTCAGAATAAGACTGTGTGAGAATTTTCTCCTCCCATCTTAGATTCCTATCTAGGGTTGAGATTCAAGATGTGCACCACTACCGCCTGGTTTCTATGCAAACTAGTGTGGCCACTGGGATTAAAGGTGTGTGTCAGCACTGCCTGGTTTGGAAGGCTGACCAGTGGGGCTCCTGTGCTCTCTCACTTCAGGCAAGCTTTATTTATTAAAATACAAATGAAATATCCCTGCACTTTTGTTTTAGTTAAAAGATTGCATGTTGTA